GCCTCAACCTCCCCAGTGCTAAGATTAAGTAAGTACCAACTCACCCTGCTAAGGCTGGCTCTGCTTCTTAACAATCTCATTAGGTATAGGATTCCAGTATATGAACTAGGGCTGGGTACAGCGTTCAGACCACAGCAAGTGCTAACAGGCTCCAGTGGTTTGGAACAGGAGTGACAGAGCCCAAGGCTTTGCAGATCTACAGTGGCCAGACGTGAAAAGCAACTTTTTAGATTCTCAGGCATGATAAGAGACACAAAGTCCATTCCCTAAGGAAACTCCCTCCCACCCCACCCAAGACACACACACCTCTGCCCATCACCACCCTGGAGCCACCTTGACTTTCTACAATTTTAGATTCAGCTTTTCCCCATACAAGATAATCCTGCTGAGTTGGGAGGTGGTGGCACCCACCTTTAACCTCAGAATACAGGAGGCAGAGGCAGGTGGATCTCTCATTTTGAGGCCAGCCTCGTCTCCAGAGTGAGTTCCAGGACAGCCAGAGCTACACAGAGAAACCCTTGCTGGCTTTTTGGTAAGCATGAAGACAACAGCTCTCCTGTCCATGATGCAGTATGTCCGTCCATTTGTTCAGTCCCCTACAATTTCTCTATCCAGAGATTTGTAGTTTAAGAGTGGATAGAGAGCCACACGGTCAGCTTCCCAGCTAAGTATTTCCTTCTTTTCAGAGTTAGCAACTGGTTTGTTGTTTTTTGATTTTTTTTTTTTTGAGATAGGTTTCTTTTTTTTTTTTTTTTAACTGATTTTATTGAGCTATACATTTTTCTCTGCTCCCCTTCCTTCTACCCTCTCCCATGGTCCTCATGTTTCCAATTTGCTCAGGAGCTCTTGTCTTTTTCTACTTCCCATGTAGATTAGATCTTAGGGGCCTCATTGTTGTCCAGGTTTTCTGGGTTTGTGAATTCTAGACCAGTTTTCTTTGCTTCATGTCTATAAGTTACTTATGAGAGAGTACATATGATATTTGTCTTTCTGGGTCTGGGTTACCTCACTCAATAGGATGTTTTCTAGATCCATCCATTTGCCTGCAAATTTCAAGATGTCATTATTTTCAAGATAGGTTTCACGGAGATCTACCTGCCTCTGCCTCCCGAGTGCTGGGATTAAAGATGTGCACCTCCATCGCCCGGCTGTTAGCAACTGTTTTGCTATTTTTCTTTTCTCTTTTGGTGAGACAGCTTCAGCACAGACTAGCATCAAATTCATGGAGATATTTCCACCTCAGCCTCCACATGCTGGGATTACTTACAGGTGTGAGTCACCACACCAGGCTTTTTAAAAGTTTCAATTTCCAATCATTTATTGCTAGAATACAGAAATATGGCTATTTTTACAAGTTGATCTTCATCTGATAACCCTGCTAATTTACTCACTAATTCTAGCTTTTCTACATATTGCCAGATAATTATTCATCCACCCATCCATCTCTGTAGCAGTCAGAGCTTCTGAGTCCTGTTGAATATGAATGAAGCAAGGCACCACTGCCTGGCTGCCGTCTTGGGAAAAGTATTTGTTTCTTCCCGTTAAGTGTGAAGTTAGCTACAGTGTTTTCAAAGTCCGTCTTTTCCAGGATGAAGCTCCCCTTTCTTTCAAGTTTGTTGACAACATTCATCAGAAAGGGTAAATTCGGGGGTCGTGAGATGTCACCCGATGATCTTCACTCCATCCCTGGAGCCCACACGAAGGTAGAGAACCAGCTCAGAGTCATCCTCTGACCACACGGATGTTCATCGAGAGCTGGAGCAAGTTCCAGAGATTTGCCTGTCTCCACCTCCCCAATGCTAGGGTTACAAGCACAAGCCACCATATTCAGCTTTTTCGATGGTCACTAAGGATTAAACGCACAAGTGAGTACTTTACTGACTGGTCTTTAGACCAGCTCTCCAAAAGAGAAGACACCCAAGTCTGTCTCAATTAAACTTCAACTGGCCCAGACCTAGCATAACCACGGGATCTGGGACTGATAAGCTCTGCACAGTAGCGACAGCCAGTGTTAATCACAGGTGAAGCTGTGTAAATGTAGCTGTTTAATGCTACATATAGTTTATGTTCCCACTGGGCTTTATTGAAAATCGAGGTCTGGTTTTGTCCATTTTACCATCACATCCCACACATCTCCAGAGTACAATAAAACAATCACTGACTGTGTGCACTGGCTTGAGGTCACACACTGACAAGGCTGCCCAACCCTGAAATGCAAATACTCAGATTTGCCTCTGAGTCACCTAAGAAAGCACCTTGGGTTACTTTAACTCCTTAATTCTTACAATTCCTCAAATGCTCAGCTAGTCATTTTCTCCCATAGTCTATTACCGAGGAAAGGGGTGGGGCGGGGCTTAGAGATTTCAAGATCAAAGATCCGAGGTAAAGTGTATTCTCTCACTCTTTTAAGGGAAGCAGTCTTCTGGTTAGGACAGACACAACTGCCACCACCCATCTAATGGCTTCCAACGTTTTTTAAAACAGATTTTAAAATGTGTATTTGTGTGTATGAGTGCCAGCCTGAGTATACTGCCACCTGTGTGGCAATGAGGCCAGGAAATGGCATGGGATCCCCTAGAGCTAGAGGTACAAGAAGCTCTAGACAAGAGTCACCAGACGTGAGTGCTAGCAACTAAACCCAAGTCTCCTCCTGTGTGATGTTTCTAATACTAAAATAATATATGCAAGATCATCTGGGGAATCTTGTTAAAAATTAAGTTTCAGAAGGTCTGAATCGGCTGATTCTGCAGAGGCCTAGGGTAGCAGAAATGCCAGACCCCATGCTGGAAAAGCAGAGATCGACAGGTTTCCTTAGGCCTCACATCACAATGTTTATAAAGACTTTTCTTTCTTTCCTTCTTTCTTTCTTTCTTTCTTTCTTTTTCTTTTTCTTTTTCAAAATGGGTTTCTCTGTGTAGCCCCTAGCTGTCCTGGAACTCACTTTGTAGACCACGCTGGCCTTGAACTTGAACTCACAGAGATCTGTCGGCCTTTGCCAGGATTAAAAGTATGTGCCACCATGCCTGGCACATACTAAGACTTTTAAAAGCCAAATTTTACTGAAGTAAAGAATAAGTACTTTCTTGTTTGTTTTTCCAGTTTAAATTTAAAGTCTAATTCCTTGGAGTTTTTTTTTATTTTGTTTTGTTTGGGTTTTTGTTTGTTTGTTTGTTTGTTTTATTTTGAGGGAAGGTGGAGCACCCTGAAAGCCCTAACATTTAGCAAGGCTGAGAAGCCAAGGACATAAGACCACCAAACTGCCACATCATTCAAGCGGCCTTTCCTGCAGACAGAGCAGTTAAGAGATTTCAAAGGCTGGGCCCTAATGTCCTTCCACAACAGAAGTAATTCTACCACACAGCCACACCTTCCAAAGAGGTAACAGCCACCAGCTCCAGCTCCTGCTCACAGAGACGGCAAAGTCCGGCAATGAACTGATAACCAACGTTTAGTGCAAACCACTCCATCTCCGTTCTGAGGGACAAGTTAAGAGTTCACAGGGCAAGCTCTATTTACTTTCAAAGGCCTAGTGAGTAAACCAACATGGTCCTTGACTAGGCCTTGCAGTCCACCTGGCTCCAAGTGCAGCCCTGCCCTTTTTTTTCTTGCTTCTGATTATCTGTACCGCGGGCAACCATTGGCTAACTTAGTTAGGTGCCTCTTTTAGAACAGGATTCCATACACCCCCACACCTATATTCCCTTTGCTAACAACAAAACCTAACACAAAAGCAATAAATCCTCGAGAACATTCCAGATTACTGGATTAAAATTGGTTTAAAATTTAAAGATAGATAACTTGCTCCACTTATTTCTCACTAAAGCCCTTCAAAACTATGGATCAGAAGACCGAGCCTTCCACACAGAAGAGAGAAAACCCTCCATGATTCTACAACCTACAAACACTGGGACCTTTATTTAAAGGGTGTCCACGGATGATATCCCCCCCCCCAAAAAGGCGAACACAGGCACTCAGCTAAGCACAACAGGATACTGAAAGAAAATGCACGCATGTACAGTTCCGTGCAAATGGCTTCTCTGGCTGAGAAGTCTATAAAGTTTCGAGGCCTCAGTGGAAGGCTAAAAGTGACAGTGAGTAGGAGGGGTAGGGAGGTTTTTCTAACCCGGACCGTGCCCTGTCCACAACAAAGATAAACCAAAACCCAGACGGACCTGCTACAAAACCACAAAACAGAAACAAAACCCACAAGCTCCTGAACCAAACACTCTGGAGGCTAAAATAAAATAAAAATAAGAGGACTCTGAGAAATGTGCTCTAGAATGCTTAAGTACAACTGAAAGTTCCTCCTGTCACCTCCCATACTGGCCGCCCTGCCAGTGTGACTTAACTCTGGTCTGGGTACCAATTGGGCAGTCCCAGCCAGTGCTTAGTCGAAGACTACGGGATGCTAAGGAGGGATCAAACGTCCGCAGTAAAGACTGGAGGCTTTATGGGTAGATCTGGACTCCCCCACTGCATCTGGGCTACATGCCTCCATTCAACAAATATTTATTGAGCGTCCACCATCTGCTGGGCACCCTGCTAGGCGCCAGGGAGGAAACCATGCCACAACCCCGGGCCTCTCTGTTAGCAGAGAACCGTCTGGGGTTACACGAACCGGAAAACCTGCCACAAGTTGCTAAGCACAGTAGTAGCCAGGGGAAGGCACGGCCCTCGCAACCGGCTCTGCGCTCCAAGCTCGCGGATGAAGCAGGGAGGACACGAACACAGGTAGGCCCCGGTGCAGGTGTGCAGACTCCAGGAATCCCTGAGGCTTCGGAGCTGCAGAGGACAGGCTCCTGCCGAGGGCGCGGTCCCCAGAGGAGCAGGAACCGCAGCCCGAGGACCTTGGAGCGTGAGGTGCGCGGGGCGGGGGCCGCGCAGCCCGAACTTGGCTTGGGCCCACCGGGCCTGCCCCCCGCGGCCGGGTGCGGGGAAGGAAGGCGCGGGCTAGGCCGCCGACCCGCCCGCCCGTACCTGGAGCCCCGCCCGACACCTACCACTTGGGCGACCTTGAGGCGGCCGAGCGCACCGCGCAGGTAGTCGGGGTCGCAGCGCAAGCCGGCCAGCCCGCGGCGCTGGCTCACCGGTTCGGTGGTGGGCTGGTATGGGCTGCTGGCGCCCGAGATCATGGAGGTGCTCGAGGCCTCGCCCTCGAAGCCGTCCAGCTCCTCGCCGCCCCGCATGCTGCCGCCCCGCGCGGCCGGTTCCCCCAGCACCAGGAGCGGGCAGGCTCAGCGCGGCCGCTGCATCGCCGTCGCCTGACCACCCCGCCGCCGCCTCTGCACCCGCCGCCCGCTGCGGCCGCGGCTCGGTCCGCTGGGGCTCGGCTCCCGCCGCCTCGGCAGCGGAAAGGGAGGGAGACGGGAGCGGGCGCCGAGGGAAGGAGGCGGGAGCCGCGCGCCGGCCCGGAGGGGGCGGAGACTGCAGCCGGCGCGGGGAGGGGCGGGGCGCTGAGGGCTGGGGGCGGGGGTCGTCCAGGAGAGGAGGGGCGTCGCAGGCTGAGGCGTGGCCTATGGGCCTTGGTCACGCCCCCACCACGCCCTCACCTGCTGGGCATCCAGCCTGGACTCCTGTGGTCACCAGCTGTTCTGGCTAGGAGAGGACCAATGGAGCAAAAGAGGGAAAAAGTGTGGAGCCGATGGAGTTTGACCAAGGAGTTGCGGAGCTGCGTCCTCCGTCCGCAGCCTCAGAGTCAGCTTCAGAGAAAGTAGGCTCTTCTGCCGGTATTTTGGGGGACTTCCCTGTGAAAACTATACTTAAGACTGGAGAGATAGTAAGGAGGTTAAGAGCGCTCCTGTGGCTCACAGTGTGTCTGACACCCTCTTCCGGCCTCCACAGACACCTGCATTTACATGTACATACCCCCCCCACACACACACGCACAGTTACACATACACATAAAAATATCTTTAAAACAGCTAAGTTTTGGTGGATAGTGAGATGGCTCGATGGGTAAAAAAGACTTGCCACCAAGCTTAATGACCCAAGTTTAATCCCGGGGACCCACATGGGGAGGGCAAAGAACCTAGTCTTCTCAAGCTGGCTCCTAATCTCCACATGCACGCCCCCAACCCCCACCCCACCCCCGCTCCACACACTAAATAAGTAAATGTAGTAAAGATCAACTGTGTCTCCTCCCAGTACCAGGCACAGTGCCCGGTCCAGGCTGGACTTGACTGCAACTGTGTGACACGCAATAAGGTATAAGTGTGTGAGTTCCCCCACTGGGTACCTGGAGACAAGCTAATTCTATGCCAGAGGTACAGTATGCAGGGGTGAGAAGCCGGGGCGAACGGAGCCTGCAGAATCCACACAACCCATGTCAGTTTAGGATCTTAGCGACTAATACTGGTTTCCTTTCTTGGCTGAGAAAGGGTTTTGCTACCTCTACGCGGCAAGCTAGGTGAAACGTCGATTTTGCCCTGGAGGCATTAATTATAGGCCAATTTGTCATTCACGTGTGAAGACTAATTTTAAGCTTAAGTAAAACACTGACTTTCTAAGAATTGTCACTTTGACACGGAACCTTCCAGCACTCTGCCTCCTCTGCTCTGGGCCCTGGGGAAGGCACTTGGATGAGGTGTTATTACTATTTCACACAAGCAGAGACAAGTGGCTGTCCAATGGCGCATAAGCAATCTTGAGCAGAACATAGATTCTTACTTTTTCCAAAGGTGAAATACTGAAATTACTTGACTTCCCAAATACTGGGGGGGGGGGGGAACTTACTGTAAGCTAAGCAATATGCTAAGAACTGAGGACAGGGACATTGAGAAGGCTCAGTGGGTGAAGGTGCCTGCCACCGATCCTGACCACTTAGTTCCTGTGACCCACATGGTGAAGGAGAGAACCATTTTTTGCAAGTTGTCCTCTGACCTCCATAAGCATGCCCCAGAGTCCTACCACACCAAGAATACATGCGATAGCTTTTTTAATTTGAAGGCAAACTCTTCTCTGTCTTAAACGTCCTTCTGAAATGACAGCTACAGGGGCCTCCTTTTCAAAGGGTGTAAAACCACAGAGACAAAGAATGGGGAAGGAGACACCGACGAGGAAAGATTGGAAGCTGGAAAACAAATACACAAGCAGTAACTGATATAGCACATCTAAGAGAACAGAGCTCCAAGCTGGCAGTGGGAAAGGCTGAAAGGCGCCCGAGGTTACATATCAGAGCAAAGTGCTCAGGAGCACCAGAAAACATCTACAGGAGGGTGTGGCCGCAGGCACAAAACAAGATGGTCCATTGAAAGCTTTGAAGAAGTACAAAAGGATCCCTGGATCCCCACCCATACCCCAGCATCAAGACGAGCTGTGGTCTCTCAGTGTGTATGGTCTCTCAGTGTGTGTGCGTGCGTGCGCGCGTGCGTATGCACACACACGCATGCACACACACACATACACACATGCATATATACACATTCGTGCACACGTCTTCTATCCCCAGGCTTATTGAAAATATTACAGCGCAGCAGAGAAAATTCAGATGTTCCGCATGTTATTTTCACATTCATTCCCACTGCAAGCTGAATGGTCTGCAGGTTGGAGGGCCTCCCAAGGTCCAGAATTGTCAGCCTTTCCCCAGCGTCAGGGTCTACATCCACAATCCTGGGAATTGGAATATGGATCACCAGCAAAAGGATTTCATGCCCTGCTCCAAATTTCAGCTGAGATCTGAATATGAGCACCGGGCGGTGCAAGCTGGTGGAAAGGCATTTGACAGAAAGAACAATGCAGGCAAAAGACGAACAAAACCACAGAACTCTCAAGATGGCCAGGAGAAAGGCAGGGTGTTGGGGAGCACACCTGCAATTCCAATACCTGGAAGGCAGAACCAGTCCAAGACCTTGTTGCAAAAGAGAGAGAGAGGAGGAATGCATTTAGGGGCAAGAGACAAAGATCTGTGAGTTCATCCCAGAATGATCTACATAGCAAGTTTCAGTCCAGCCAGGGCTACATAGTTAGATCCTGTCAAAAAAAAAAAAAAAAAAAAAAAAGAAAACAAAAAACTAGAGAGGGCTAGAAAGATGACCCAGCAAGTGAGGGTGTTTGCTACAAAATATAATGCCCCTGGGATTCACATGATGGAAGAAGAGCCAACTCCTGCAAATTGTCCTTTGACCAACACATAAGCAAACAAATAAACCAACAAATAGATAGGACTCGACAGAAAAGCTCAGCAGTCAAGAGAGCACTGTCTGCTCCTGCAGAGAAACCCAGATTCGATTCTTAGCATCCACATGGTGGCTCACAACCATCCGCAACTCTGGCTCCAAGGGATCCAACACCCTCTTCTGGCCTCTATGAGCACCAGGCATGCACATGACACATATACACATGAACATGATACTCATCCACATGAGCACGTGTTGTGTACTGATACACATGCACACGAGCACCCGGTGTGCACATACATGATACACATGCACATGAGCACCAGGCATGCACATACATGTTACACACGGGCACCAGGCATGCACATACATGTTACACATGCACATGAACACCAGGCATGCACATACATGATACACATGCACACGAGCACCAGGCATGCACATACATGATACACATGCACATGAACACCAGGCATACACATACATGATACACATGCACATGAGCACCAGGCATACACATGATGCACATGTAGACAAAACACTCGTGTATATAAAACAAGTCTTTAAAAAATAAAACTAAATGTAATTTAGAGAGAAAAAGGAGGAGGGAGCAAGTGCAGAATTCAAGTGGAGGATGGTGAGATGAGGCCAGAAACTGAACAGCAGCATGGACCTTATGAAGTATTTTAGAGGATGGGCTCCAAGCGGAAGGCTGTTTGGCACTGGAGCAGCCCAGTGGCCTGCCTCTTGGGACTCTCTCTCTGGCTTCTATACAAGAGATGGATGGAACAGAGGCAAGATTAGAGGCTTTTTTTCCCAGTACTTATTAACTGTTCTCTGCTCCTGGACACTCGCCTATGTTTATTTTTAGTTCTAGAGAGAGACTCAAATTTTTCTCTTCTGATTTTTAACACAAGTTCACAGATGTCCAAGGGGCGTTTTTGGGAATCCCACATGGATCCTTAAATAGTTGACAAAACCTGGTATTACGATCCTGTCTTCAGTGGTGGATTGTAATGTATCAGGAGTCCCTAGCAATGGCTGTGCCTCTGCATGTCGGCTAGTGTTCGAGGCAAATCGAAGCCAGTACCTGTTAGAGAAGCAGGCAGCACTTGGATAGGACCATGCTGCAGGGACTGATCCACAAGTCCGGGGCTGACTTAGTGCAGACTCAGACAAGACTGAGGAAGAAGCCAGATGCTACTTTATTTCAGTCTGTGGGAGGGGGAGCGATCCTGCCAGAAGGCAGCCTCTATCTTGGTCTATCAGTGGATACAGAATGAACTGCTCAGAAGACCCAGGATGGAACAGAATGAGTTCACTCCTGCAGACATGCTTGGGCCTCACGAGTGCCAGGGGCCAAGTCTTCCTCAACCAGGCAGTGAGAGCCCAAACAAGCTCTTGGTCATTCGCCTTTTCCTCTTCACTCAACTGATTGGTGACCCTGTTTGCTCTGTAGCATCCTCACATCAGCAACGTTCTCCTGGATCAAGTCCGACATTTTCTCAAGTCCATTTGCTTCTCATTTAGATCTGGACTTGGTTCCTTTCTAAGGCAGCTTCCTCCAAATCAGGGAATTCCTCACTGTACAACCCCCCCCCACACACACACTTTCCTGATCATCAGAATCCACAGCCTCCTCTGCCTCAGATGACCAAACCTACAAGTTTAGATTCCAAATTCCATGGCACAAATATTTGCCCAGATTCTGGCCTCAATGGATCCTGTCTGTGGAGGAAGGGCCTGACCACAGCGAGGTGAGAGGGGTTCCCACTTCATCTCACCCAGGCCATGCCCCATTGTATCCTTGTGAGTGCTGGAGGTAGGAGAGGTTTTTCGATGGCTTCAAGGAGCTAGCTGGTGTCACCTTCCATGTTTAACATACGTATTCCATAATCAGCAGGAGCCCTGGAGACGCTTCAGTCTCAGGAAAATACAGACTAGTTCTTTTTTTTTTTTTTTTTTTTGGTTTTTCGAGACAGGGTTTCTCTGTGGTTTTGGAGCCTGTCCTGGAACTAGCTCTTGTAGACCAGGCTGGTCTCGAACTCACAGAGATCCGCCTGCCTCTGCCTCCCAAGTGCTGGGATTAAAGGCGTGCGCCACCACGGCCCGGCTCAGACTAGTTCTAAGTAGGTTTCAAGCATAAAGTATAAGATGAGAATGCTAAGATTATAAGTGAAGGGCCTGGAGAAACAGCTAAGCACTGGCTGCTCCTGCAGAGGCCTCAGGTTCAGTTCCCAGCACCCACATGGCAACTCACAACTCTCTGCCATTGCAGTTCCAGGGGATCCAATGCCTC